TATTATCCCCATTTTATAGTTAAGGAAACTGAGGCAGTCAGAGGTTGAGTGACTTGGTTAAGCCCAGGGTCACACAATTAGTAATATCTGAGGCCACATCTGAACGCAGGCCTTCCTGACTCCAGGCCTAGTGCTCACACCACTCAGCTAGCTGCCTAAGCAGCTTGGAGATGAGGGCCTTGAACTCAGGAAAGACAGTAGGGCTGAAGGGACAGTTCTGGGATTCATCTGCCTGGAGATGACTGTTAAAACCCTGGGAGCTGCTGAGATCACTGACAATGCGGGCTCCAGACAGAGCCTTGAGAACAGGAGCCCAGGTGGAGGGTGGGGTAGAGGATGAGAGGCAGTGTCGCCTGGCGAGCTAAGCGCAAGATGAACTCGGGAAGACTGAAGTTCAAACCCTGTCTTAGCTCTGGGATGCTGGCCAAATCACCTGACTCTCTGAGTACGTTTCCTTACCTGGAAAATGGGGCTAATCACAGCACCTTCACCAGGGGCCCAATCCCTGCCCTGCAGCAGCAGGGCCTGTCTGCCTCAGCTCACCAACCAAAAGGGCTCTCTCGAAGCTGGTCAGGCAGGCCGCAGTCACTTATGAAGGGCCTACTCGTGCCAAGCACTGTGCTACACACCGGAGGTATAAACACACAAGCAAACAGAAAGCCTGTCCCAGCCCCTTGGGGCTCACATTCTGATGGGAAAAGACAACCCATTAAAGGGAGGAGCCAGGCCAGGGGTCCAGTCTGGAGGCTCAGAGGCTGGGTGGCTGGCCTGGGCCATTGCCAAAATGAAGGCAGGAAAATCACCCATGGGAGAGCAGCTTTGTCACCAGACCGCCTGAGTTGAGAGGGAGCAGGTTCTAGTGTTAACTCCTTCCCTAACCCTCCCGTGTAAACTCAGGCAAATCATTTAACCTCAAGGTTTTGGGGCCTTCTCCATGGGCCAGATGGCCAGAAGGTCCCTGCCAGCTTAGCCACGCCCCCTCGGCCAGCTTGGATCTGTGCTCTCCCTGGGGTCAGCTCAAAACCCTCTCCTCTGTCTCCTTCCATCCAGAAAGGAACATGCTGGGGGCGTCCGAGAGCCAAGAGTTAAATTGTCCATGTGGGCATTTACCTGCTCAGAAATCACCAAACTACAACTGGCGTTTGACTTACTGTTTTGTGGACTGTCTAGACTCCTAGTCTAGACTTAGAACAACGATGATTACAGGTGTCTTTTTTCCCCCCCAAGAGCCAGGTTGTTAAACATTTGCCAGCATCCCCCTGATCAATCCCACACCACAAGGAGCTACACACTGACTATAAAATCAAGGAGTTGGACAAGATGATCCCTGACATCTTTTCTAGTTCTAAATCCTAGAATAACCTGCAGTCAAACTGGGAAAACTCAACCCCCAGCTCAGCAGATGTAGAGAAGGAAGGCTCTCTGTCTAAATGTATTAAGTACTTTCTAGGGGGCTGAAGTCACCTGCTTAGAGCTGGGGAGACAAAGAAAGCCCAAATACTGCGACTTCCTCTTCCCATTCCAATGGGGGAGACAGTATGCAAATAACATGCCTATGAGATTATAAACTACAAATGGAAAGTAATCTAGGGGTGTGTGAGGACAAGGAAGTACCTCCAAATTCTGAAGGATGACTGGAAAACTTAGAGGCTGAGGGAGAGAGAGAACTTCTAGGCTTGTAGGCAGGCCAATGCAAATACATGGAGCAGGAAGTAGAAGAAACAGCTGGGAGGCCAGTGTCCCATCAAAGAGGACACAGAGGGACAGACAAAACAAATGTCTGGAGCTTTAAATGCCAAAAAGGTTTTATGTTTGATCTTGGAGGCAAGAGGGAGCCACTGAGTTTACTGAGTAGGGGAAGAGACATAGTCTAACCTGTGCTTTAGGAAAATCACTTTTAACCAAATGATGAATGGCAGTGGGGAGAAACATGAGGCAGGGAGACCAAAGACATGCTATTTAAATAGTGCAGGCGAGAGGCGACCAGGGCCTCAACTAGGGCGGCAACTATATGAGGAGAGAAGGGCCACATATGAGAAATGATGTCAAGATAAAAGCAAGGTTTTGTGGGAGAGGAGGACACAGAGGTGGCAAATGTGGGTAACTGAGAGGAGGCTGGTTGGTGCCTCAACATTACTAGGAAACTTGGGGGAAGAAGAGGGCATTGGGGAACAAGAACAAATTCGGTTTGGAATATATTGAGTTTGAGATGCCCAAAAGGAAGCTAGCTAGCAACGAAGGAGTAGAGCTCCAGAGAGAAATGAGGGCTAGAAACATCAATTTGGAAGTCATCTGCAAATGGATGGCAACTGACCCCGTCAGAACTGGTGATAGGAAGAGAAACATAAAATGAAAAGAGAAAAGGCCCCGAGGGAGTGGGCATGGGCTGGCTGAAGATCCAACAAAGGAGACTGAGGAGAAGCAGACGGAGAAGGCCCAGGACCAAAAAGTGAGGCGAGAGACAGAGGGCCCTGGAGAAAAGTGGGAGGGACGGTGAGTGTCCAAGGCTGAAGAGATCCTCAGAGGTCCAAAAGGTTGAGAACCGGAAAAAGGCCATTTGATTTAGCAATGAGATCTGAGAGAAATGATGATCACTAACCAATGATTTGGGGAGATCCAGAGTTCTCCCCTTCTTCTGAAGTCCTGATTTCAAAAGTTCAGTCTCTTGAAGGACATTACTCATAATGAGATTGACCTAACTTTCTTAACCATCTTGTTCCGCCCCAGGTGGGGAAGCCATCTTACTGTCCTCGGGTTTGGGTGACAGTAAGTTCTTTGAACAGATTGCCCAATGCTGGGGATAAGTTAGAAGTAAATAACACAATCAAGGTTTATTTGAATTGTAATATTCATTCTCTCATTAACTGTTGACCAATCAAAGTTGACAGAGGTGGGGATATAATGGACATATAAGCCGTGAGCCCACCAACATGATTATCTTTGGCGTAAGAAAGAGATGGCTAAGTGACCATGCTTCTATTAAAATGTTGGCATTATTAATGACATTATTAAATTACCCAGAAAGTATGTTTCTCGAACCTGTTTAAACGCCACAGATCATTGGGAATGGTGGAGAAACCAGCTTCAGTTCAGTAAAGAAGCTGAAGCCAGACTGCAGAGGGTTTAGAAGAGAGGGTGAAAAGAGAGGTCTGGTAATTATAACTTTCTGAGTCTCATCTGAGAGATGAAGTCAATTCAAATTGACAAACAATTTGTTAAGCAAATACTATGTGCCAGGTGTTGATCTAAGTGCCAGAGACACAAAGAAAGGCAAAAAAGACAGTTGCTGATCTTTCCCAATCTAATGGGAGAGAGGTGGTACAAACATGCAGAAAAGTCACACAGACTGGATCAACTGCAGATGTCTCAGAGGGAAGAGGGGTTAAGAAAGATGTCCTGGAGAAGGTGGGATTTCAAGTGAGCCAGGAGATGAGGGAGGAGAGTACTCCAAGACGACCACTAGTGAAAATACATGGAGGCAAGAGGACAGGGTGCTGAGTCTGAGGAACAGCCCAGGGGCAGGTGTCACTGAATCAGAGCACATAGATGTCAGAAGAATGGAAAGGTGAGAAGGGGCCAGGTCACCATGGACTTTAAAAGCCAAACAGAAGTTTTCTCTACTTGATCCTGAAGGCAGCTGTAAGCCAATGGAGTTTACTGAGTAGAGGGGTGACACGGTCAGACTCGGGCTTTAGGAAGATCATTATTATTATTTTTGGTGAGGCAATGGGGTTAAGTGACTTGCCCAGGGTCACACAGCTAGTAAGTGTCTGAGGCTGACTGCAGGGCCCGTGCTTTATCCACTGTGCCTCCTAGCTGCCCCTAGGGATTGGGTGGCCTGCTGAAGGGGTACTGGAGTGGCCAGCAGCCTGAGGTTATTGCAACAATCCAGGTGAGGGCTCGAAGGAGACTAGCTGTAATCTATAGGACCTGAGATGTGGGGGAGCCGAGTGCTGAGGATGACGGGAGGTCTCAAGCCTGAGGAAGGACCTGGGAAGCAGTGTGGCTCAGTGTAAGCCAGAGGACGTGGTGAGAAGCCAGCCTCGGACCCTCCCCTGGCCCTCCCCACCCCTGCCTCCTACAAAGTCCCACCTCCCACAGGCCCCCTCTGGGGGCAGCCCTGGCCCTACCCGAACTTGCTCCTAACTCAGCTTGTATTTACTTCTGTTCACCCGTAGCCCCGCCACGGGCCATCAAGCTGAAACCCTCCAAGGGCTGGCAGGTGGGCAGGCAGGTGTGGACGTTTCCTTTCAGTCCAAGAGCCCGACAAACCGCTTCGTGGCTTTTCTGTGTTAGCTATTTGTGCACCTGTGGTTTCTCTACAACATAAGCTTCTCGAGGGCAGGGAAGAGCGTGTAGGTTTCCCCAACACCGGCACACAGTACGCCCTTTATCAACGCACGTGGGGTTGGCCTGCAATGAGGTCCCGAGGCCAAGGCGGGGAGGCACGGCATTGCCGAGCTGGGGACAGGGCCCGGGCAAAGGCCGGGAGGGTGGAGACTACGTGTCGAGCCGGGGAAGGACCGGCACGCCGCGGCCCAAGTGCTCGGTGGACTGAGCGGAACCTCGGTCCGTGCCCATCGAGAGCTGCCTCGCGCCCCCCACCGGGGCCCAAGTACCTGAGCCGCGGGCGCTGGAGCCCCGGTCCCTCAGGCCCAGGAAGCGCACGATCGCCCGCGGCCGGGGAAGGCCGAACTTGAACTGAGGGGAGGGAGAACGGCGATCCACGGCCGCCGTCCACCTGGAGCAGCCGCCCCCTCCGAGCCCTCCTGCGCATGTCAGGCGGGCACGCGGGCCGGCCGACATGCGCGCATGCGCCCTTCCATGTACTAGCGGGGCCGCGCGCCCCTCCCCACCCCGGCCCGGACGGCGTAGGTGTCTTAGGCGCGAGCTTCCCGCCATCTCCCTTTGTTCTCTTTCTCCCTCTCCCTCTCCCTCTCCCTCTCCCTCTCCCTCTCCTTCTCCCTCTCCCTGTCCCTCTCCCTCTCCCTTTCCCTCCTCTCTCTCTGGCGGCCCCCAACGCTCACGCCGAGAAAGGGCAGGTGCGCATGCGCTTCGCCTTCCCGCTCCCTCCCTCGCCTCCACTATCCCATGAGCCCTTGCGAGCCCATATTTAAGTCCCTCGCCGCAACTCCGTCGTCCTCTTTTGTCGCCGGCGGTGAGTGAAGTGGCCGTGGCGTTTGGGTGGGCGGGGAGGTGAACGAGAGCCGATTTTTAAACTGATTTCGTTCGGCGCCCCCAGGGTTCCCACTTCTTAACGAGCCCCTCGCCTAAGCCAGCGTCCCTCCTCCGGGGTCTGTGGGGCCGCGGCGGCAGCCCTCTCCGAGCTCTCAGCGCTCATGCGCGCGCCGCGCGTCCCCGGGAAGGAGGGGGCAGCTGGCATATTCCGCCCCTAGAGCGCCGACGCCGAGGGGTCGCGGCCGGCATTTATGTGGCTCTCGTGTGTCGGGGCCGGGGCGGGCCCTCGGTGATGAACCCTTTCACAGACCTGTGCTGACGCTGTCTGAGGACAAGAACGCCGTCTGAGGAGGAGCCCGCGCGCCCTGGCGCCCCGGCTCCTGTGGGGTGCGTGGGGGCGCAGAGCCCCCCTGACCCCGCTTCCTCCCCGCAGGGCCGCCCGTGGCTGAGCGCCGCCGCCCCGCTGTGCCCCGCCGTGCCCCGGGTGAGTGAGGGCCAGCTGCGGGTCACCGGCGTGGGGGGGGGCAGCCTTGGGGCGAGCTACGAGGATGATCTGGACTTGGAATTCTCTCTTTCTGATGGCTCAGTGGAGAAAGCTAGTGCGTCCTGAGTAGGCTCGACCGAGGGCCAGGGAGCAGCCAGACCTGGGCTGGAGGTCTGCACCCCTTGGTCCAGCCCGTGGGGGGGGGGGCGCTTCTGGGACCGCAGAAGGCCAGGACGTTGCGAGGGACACTCCCCCGCTCCTCTCCTTTCAGGTTGGTGTCGGCCCAGGACGCCAGGCAGGCCGTCCTGGGGAGGGATGCTCGTGCTGCAGACCTTTGCTTATCCTTCAACTAAGCTGGATGAGGGAGGTTCTGGTGAGTGGCATTCACTGTGCAGACGGGGTGGTACCTACACGTTTTCGTGTGTATTGAGAGAAGGTCTGCGGTAGAATTTTAAACTTGGTGTCGTCCACAGCGTGATGAATGTTCAATGACAAGCATATGACTGAGTATTATTGATGTCATCTGTACTTCTGAGAGGTGGGCAGGTCTCTATTAGAAACAAATCACATGCGCTGTTACAAAAAATACAGCATCTTATTCCTGTTCCTCTAGGCTTCCATTTCTCAGTGGACGTGACCTGAACATGCCACAGGTAATTGTGAGACAGATTGGGTTTGGAGTAGAGTGTCCTCTGGCCTCTTCAGAAACAAGAGGGCAAACCTTGGCTCCTCTGGGGGTTTCTGGGAAGCCTCCTCACTCAATTGCTAGCCCCTGTCAGATGATTTGAATCTTACTCCTGACGCTCTGTGAGGACCCAACTTTTCTATAGCATGTTAGAGTTCTGATGGCAGCTCCTGTTGTTGGACGCTTTCTGCACCAGCCTTGGTCCCTCTGGCCCACCCATTTCCCTCCCTCTCTCCCAGATGACCTGGACGCGTGTGACCTTCATCTTTCTTCTTAAGAAGTAAGTTCTTCATAGTCACTGCCATTTTCTCGCGTGCCTGTGAACCCTTGGTTTGAATTGATGATGTGGGTACAGCCCGTTACCTAATGGACGACATGTGTCTTATGGCATTTTCTGAGTCACCAAAGCCCTGATCAACCACAGGGGCCTGCAGAGTTCCCTTGGCCAGCCTTGTTTAAGGCATTTCCTAATCTGCTAACATTTCATTTGTCAGGGGAATGCTGACCAGTGCCGCCCCAGACTGAGAAGTCAGCGGTAAGTAAATTTTCTTTGCAACTCGTTGGCTTTGGGATCCCCTTGGTACCAGTGAGGAAAGGAAACACGTCTTAACCCCAGTCCTGGCCCCGGAGCCAGCAATGGTGAACCCACTGGGGCTAGCTGGGGGAGAGGAGGATGGCCTGTTCCGAAGGAACTGTCTGAGGTACACGCAACAGTACTTGGCCCTTCCAGAGGCTCATTGATTGGGAGGAGGAGGCAGCGTGGCTAATCTGCCATCATTTCTGTTTTAGGCTAAACCAGTTTCCTGCTTTCCATCAACTAGTAGCTTTTCAAAAGGTGAGTTGATTATTTAACCATGAGGTTTCCTAAGATTTATTTCGGCCTTTTGGGGTGCAGTTTCAGTGATGAGTCTAACTAGCTCACTATGATTTATGTAAAATGAAAAGGCTTGAACATCTGAGAAACTGTGCCAAGGGGAAATGAGGGTCCAATGGGCAGGGGCAGCCATCTGACTGACCCATTCTTTCCGTAGGTCCTTTGAAGAGCTGCCTGAAGGAGACTGTCAAGGGCAGGTTGTGAGGCCATTTACTGCCAGGTAAGTACATGGTTGGGCCCATTAAGATGGGGTGGGGGAGTGAGGTGTCCCTGGGTAATGAGTTCTTTTTCAGGCCTCCTGACATGATGCATTCATAGAATCTCGTTCGTCTGAATCCCCCTGTTGAGATGTGCATATCTGACAAGGAAAGGGCCACTGGGGCAGCACTGGTCTTGAGGAAGGACAGGAGCAAACTAACTCTTGGCTTTTTCCGAAGTTGCAGGCTCTGGCTGCCTGACATGGAGCAGCAGGACACCAAGGTCGATATCTACAGGTGAGCTCGCCATTACAAAGCTTTCCCACAACCTCAGTCCTAGTCCTGCCCTCCCTCTCCAGCCCCTGGGGCCTGCTCCCAGCAGTGATGAGATGAATACCGCCCCAGTCTGATTCCTGTGACTGATAGGTTGTTCTGAATGGTGAGCAGGCCCCTGGGACCCAGCGTCCCTCATCTTAGACGTCTAGAGACCTGGCTCACTCTTGTTCTTCCACAGGCTGGTTCTTTGCGGTGCTGGCGTGGCAAAGGAACTTTAGTAGGTAAGTTTAGGGGAGAGTGAAGATGGAAGATTTCTTAAATATGTGATGAGCTCAGTACCGCCCCAGTCTGATCATGGTGACTGAAAGGTATTTCTGAACCAGGAATTTTCACCGGAAGAGTTAACCATGTGATTAGCATATGGTGAGATTGAGCCAGCTTTTCATACATCCTCTTCTTTGCAGGCGAGGCAGTCTTCGCTCCACTTGGATCAACTCCAGAAATTAGGTGAGTGGCATGGGGTCTGGGGAGTGGTCAGTGAGCAGATCCCAATGAAGAAGACTTCACCTGTCTTACTCCTTGACCTTGCCCCAGAACCTGCAAAGGTTGAACCCACTGGGGCTGGCTGGGAGGCAGGAGGAAACTGTTCCAGAGAGAACTGTCTGAGGGACCTTTAGATTTGAGGCCAATGTAGCTGCGTCTTAAGTTGTGTCTACCTTCTGTCCCATTGGGAGAGAGTACCCTCAAATGACTTTTTTCTCTTGAAGGAACTGCAACATGAGAAGATGATGTACTATACTGTCAGAACACCCAGCATACATGTGGCACTGAATCATTCTGTAAAAAGAAAATGGGCATTACCTTGTCTTTTGCAAATAAAGTTTTATTTCTCTAAGTTTGTTCCATCAATTCTGTTTGGTCACCTGGGGGTGGGATGGGTGGATTTATAACCTTCCATCTTGATGGAGTTCAGCAAGCCCCAGTGCTGGCAATTTTGAGGGGCCTTGTGTCATTTCTTGATCACCTTCTGTAAATATCCTTTTGCCTATGGAATACCTAGACTGCATCATCAGGGGGGGCTTGCTGCGTTTAGAAGTCTCATCCCTAGAATACGCCAGGCCAGTGCTTGCTACATCGTGGAGCTGGCAGGGCTGGGGCCAGGGGAGGAGTCTTGGGGCGTGGTGACTGGGGGTCCTCTGAGGTCTTCTGGAAGGACGTTGGGCTGGGCACTGGCAGCCTGAGCTTTGGAGATTAAGGCACCTCTTCCCCCCTGCTGGCCCCAACATTCCAATAGTAATGGCCTCACACATTTCTTGTTCTAGATTAAATTGAACCTCCCATGCCCCCAAAGCCTGGGCTATCTTAAAGCAGCCTGTGCACTTGCCATGGCCAGAGGCTGCTTGTGGCTGCTGTTAGTGTTGGTGCTACCCACTGGGAGCAAAGGGATACCATGTCTCGAGTCCAGCAGTCCCTTCTTGCCTCCGGAGGAGGGGAAGATGCAGCCCCCACTGCCCAAGGTCAGCGCCTGCATGGTGCATTGTGCCACGCAGGTCCTGCCCAGATTGGGAGCTGGCGTCGTCTCTGTGCTCTTTAACGAGGCTCGGGCAGGTAAGGCGGGGCTCAGGAAGGAAGGGGCGGCACTAACAGCTTGGTACTGCCCAGGGAGGCTGAGAGGGCAGCCGGTCCTTGGTTGGGGGGCAGTGTGCCAGACCATGCTTCTCTGTTGGGTTATTGCCGCCTGGAGAGCTAGAGGGAGCTTTCGTCAGGAACTGTACCAGAGATCACTAGAACAGAGTCAGGAGAAGGCACGGGAGGCTCCTGAAACGTTCAGAGGCTCTCCCAATGCATCACAGGTACCAGCCTGGAGCGGAACCCAGGACTTGAGCTAGAAAGAGCTTTCCAGGTCGTTAAGCCCATTTCACAGACAAAGCCTAAAATTTGAACCCAGGGCCTGGATCCAAGGATCCAATTTCTTCATTTTGCAGATAAAATGGAGGTGGTGATGTCATCTGGCTGTCTTAAGCTGGGTTTTATTAATTGGGGTTTTAAAACTATAATTTATTTTTTAGTTTGCAACAATCACTTCCATAAGCTTTTGAATTCTAAATTTTCTTTTCTCCCCAAGACTGTATGCAACCTGATATAGGCTCTACATATACATTCCTTTTAAACGTATTTTGACTAGTCATGTAAAGAAGAATTAGAACCAATAGGAGGAACCACAAGAAAGAAAAAGTAAACAGTATATGCTTCCATCTGCGTTCAGACTAAGTTCATTCTCTGGATGTGGATAGCATTTTCCATCATGAGACTTTGGGAGATGTCTTAGACCCTTGTGTTGCTGAGAAGAGCCAAGTCAAACAAAGTTAAGTCATCACACAGTGTGACTTACTGTGTACAACATTCTCCTGGTTCTGCTCACTTCACTCAGCATCAGTCCATACAAGTCTTTCCAAGTTTTTCTGAACTCCACCAGCTCATTTCTTCTAGCACAATAGTGTTCCATTACATTCATATACCACAACCTGTTCAGCCATTCCCCAATGGATGGGCATCCTCTCAATTTTCCAATTCTTGGTCACCACAAAAAGAGCTGCTATGAATATTGTTGTACATGTAGGTCCTTTTCCCATTTTTATGATCTCTCTGGGATACAACCCTAGAAGTACTATTGCTGGTTCAAAGGGTATGCACATTTTTATAGCCCTTTGGGCATAGTTCCAAATTGCTCTCCAAAATGGTTGAATCATTTCACAACTCCACCAACAATGCATTAGTGTTCCAAATTTTCCCACATCTTCAACATTTATCATTTTCCTGTTTTGTCATGTTGGCCGTTCTGATAGGTGTGATGTGGTATCTCAGAGTTGTTTTGATTTGCATTTCTCTAATCAATAGTGATTGAGAGCATTTTTTCATATGACTATAGATGGCTTTAATTTCTTCCTCTGAAAACTGCCTGTTCACAATCCTTTGACCATTTATCAATTGGGGAATTAATTCTTATAAATTTGACTTAGTTCGCCATATGTTTTAGAAATGAGGCCCTTATCAGAGACACAGGTTGTAAAAATTCGTTCCTAGTTTTCTGCTTCCTTCCTAATCTTGGTTGCATTGGCTTTGTTTGTGCAAAAACTTTTCAATGTAAGGTAATCAAAATTATCCATTTTGCATTTCATAATGTTCTCTGTCTCTTGTTTGGTCAGAAATTTTTCTGATCTCCGTAAATCTGACAGATAACCTGTTCCTTGCTCTCCCAGTTTGCTTATAGTATCAGCCTTTATATCTAAATGATATACCCATTTTGACTTTATCTTGCTATATGGTGTAAGGTGTTGGTCTATGCCTCGTTTCTGCCATACTCTTTTCCAGTTTTCCCGGCAGTTTTTGTCAAAGAGTGAGTTCTGATCCCAGAAGCTGGGGCCTTCGGGTACTATTTTATTGTGTCTTGCACACTTAACCTATTCCACTGATCCACCACTCTATATCTTAGCCAGTACCAAGCAGTTTTGATGATGGCTGCTTTATAGTGCAATTTAAGATCTGGAATGGCTAGGCCCCCTTCCCCTGCATTTCTTTTCATTAGTTCCCTTGATATTCTGGACCTTTTGTTCTTCCAAATGAATCTTATTATTTTTTCTAGCTCTATAAAATATATTTTTTTGGTAGTTCATTGGTATGACACTGAATAAGTAAATTAACTTAGGTAGAGTTGTCATTTTTATTATATTAGCTCAGCCTACCCATAAGCAACTGATGTAAAAAGATAACAATATAATTGGCTTCCTCTGTGATCCTCTATCTAGTGTGCTGTGATATTCTGAAGAGTTCACAGGCTTCACCAGCTTTTCAAACCCGGGGTCCAGGACACATGGAAGGGTATAAATGGAAGTCTGAGCCTCTGAGGTTAAAAAAGAGAAAGGAATATTGTGATAACCCCAAGGATAGAATGAGAAAAGTGTGGCTTGAAGCGCTTTGAATTACATGGAAAATGGGGGGGGGCGGCAAAGCAGGACTAAGGATTAATTCTGTTGGATTGGAGTCAGACCTGGGCTCAAATCCTGATTCTCTTCCTTCTCCAGACCTGTGCTCTCATCTGTACAATCGGGGTTGACTCGATGACCCCTTCCTAAGGTCCCTTCCGGCTCTAAGTCTTTGAAACTGGGTGGCTGGGGTAAGGAAGAGGGGAGGTAGGGCAAAGGCGAGGGAATGACCGAGTCCCGTTCTGTCTTCCCACCCCCTGCAGAAGAGGAGCAGAAATACTGCTGGCTGCAGAGACGTCGGCACTGCCGGAGCGGAGAGCGCCTCGCCAGGGTCTTTGTGCTGCTGGATCTGAAGGAGCCCTCCGCCACTCCCTATGAGCTCCTGCCCACCACGCCACCCCTGTCCGCACCAACCAGACGCCTGCGGCCCCGGAGGAATGACGGAGCCCTGCTCAGCCTGTCGGGCTGTGGGCTCCTCTATGATGTCACCAGGCCCTTCCGGAGTGCCAGGAGAGAGGGCCAGTCCACGGAAGCGGAATTCTGTGTTAAAGCTGTGTGCCCTGCCAGCCAGCCTTCCTGCCAGCCCCTTCAGGTGGCCCTGAGCTGCCCCCCTTTCCTCGCCACGCTCTGGGGCAGCCGGCCCAGCACCAAGGATTCCTTCTCCATTCAACCCAAGCCATTACTCCCTGGACAGGTCTGAATGGACCCCCTGGGCGTGGACTCTGGTGCACAGCCAAAGAGACTCCGGGCTGCCAGAGCTAGGCTGCAGCTCGTCCCACTCTGGGCTCGGGGCTAGTGAGGCAGCAGTGACTGACCTGAATAAATTGGCCACGTGGCTCCTCTTCGTGGGCTCCTCTTTCCCTCTGACAGGCCTGTTAAGGCTGGGCGGGGGGGTGACGATGGCATGGAGGGAGGGAGATTGGAAAAAGGGAAGGGGGAGAGAGATAGTCAAGAAGCATCAGCTATTAGCCAAGTACCAGCCGCCATGCAGGCACATCCCTGAGGGTACCAAGACACGAGCAAACTAAACAGTCGCCCTTCTAGGCAGGCATGTGTCACAGTGAATAGAGCACGGGGCTGGGCACAAGAAGACCTGAGCTCAAATACAGCCTCAGACACTATCTCAGTGATCCTGGGCAAGTCCCTTAACTGCTCTCTGCCTCAGTTTCCCCAACTGTTGTGAGAATCGATGAGATCATTGTAAAGTGCTTAGCACTGATATTTAAAAATGCTTTCTTAAAAAAAAAATTAATGGGGCAGCTAGGTGGCGCAGTGGATAGAGCACCAGCCCTGAAGTCAGGAGGACCTGAGTTCAAATCCAGACTCAGACCAAATGCTTGACACTTACTAGCTGTGTGTGACCCTGGGCAAGTCACTTAACCCCAATCGCCTAAAAAAAAAATGCTTTCTTGAATAAGAGGTAAGTGAATGTAGAAGAGGATGTGTACACTTGAGCTTCCCTGGGTCCATATCTTTGGCCCAGAGAAAAGAAGACGCATACCTCCCTGATCACAGATCAGCTCTCTCCGGACACTAGCGACCCAACCCAAAGATGACCCACAGAAGTCAGGGACTGGGGGAATTTCACTCTAAGGTAGAAAAACGCAGTTGGTGGGCAGCTAGGTGGCGCAGTGGATAGAGCACCAGACCTGGAGTCAGGAGGACCTGAGTTCAAATGTGACCTTAGACACTTAACACTTAACTAGCTGTGTGACCCTGGGCAAGTCACTTAACCCCGTTGCCCACCCCCCCCAAAAAAAAGGAAAAAAAGGCAGCTGGATGCTAGGGCAAGCAAATCCCCATCACCTTTGGATATTCTAATCATCAATAGGCCAGAGAAGGTGGAACACAGGGGTTGGTAGAATCCTTCTGGCGCTGGGCTACACTGGTCACTCTAGCTGTCTCCATCTGTACTGTCCCTGCCTCTTCTTCGGAGTAAAAGGAGCCTGGTTTAGCCAGCCTGCCTCCTGGCTGTAGAAATGGGGGCCGTTAGTAAAATGGGAGAGGAGAAGGGGTTTGGGAACCCTTTTCCTAGATCTGTGTGTGAGGAGGGGGGAGGGATACCGGAGGGGGGAGGGTCAAGGACCCATCCTTTTAAGTTAGTTGCCTCCTCACAACCTCAGAAGCCCAGGCAGGGAAAGACGCAGTGGTGGTGGGGGAGGAGGGTGCAGAGATCCTGGAAGCGGAAGCATTAGTGTTTATTAGTCAAGGCCAAGAGGAAGAGCCCTGATTTTAGGGCCATGACATTTCTTAAGTTCACCAGGGAATTGCTGACCCAGGAGGAAGACCCTGCTTCTGGGAAAACATGGAACCCTCTTATGATTGCTTCGTTTCATCTCTGGTCTTGAGCACTGATTGTTGGGGCAGGATAGTGTATCCCAACCCACTAGAGTAGTCTCATAATAACACTGGATTTGAAATCCAAGGACATAGATTCCAACCTCACTCTGCTACTTACTGGCTGTATGACTTTGGCTAAGTCCCTTCTCCTTTCTGAGGCAGTGTGTCAGGCACTGCGCTAAGCTTTGGCAATACCAGTACAAGCATAAAAAAAAATACACTGTCACTATTGTGCTAGAAGAAATGACAAGCAGAAAAACCTGGGAAGATATATATGAACTGATGCAAAGTGAAGCAAGCAGAACCAGGAGAACCTTGTACCCAGGGACAGGAACATTGTATGATGATCATCTGTGAATGACTTAGCTATTCTGATCAATACAGTGATAGAAGACAATTCCAAAGGATTCATAATGAAAAATGCTGGATACCTTAAGAGAAAGAACCGATGGAATATTCATCCAGATTGAAGCATTATTACCTCACTGAATCCTCACCACAACCCTGGGAGCTAGGTGCTGTTGTTATCCCCATTTTTAATGATGAGAAAACAGGTAAAGAAGGTACATGTCTTGCTTAGGGTCACATAGCTTGTGTCTGAGACCAGACTTGAACTCGGGTCTTGTTCCATCCAAATCCAGCATTCTATCCACTGGGCCATCTGGCTGCTTACAGAAGGTCTTTGAACAAGGAGAGTCAGTCAGACCTGTGCTGTGACAAGATTATTTTAGCAGCTATGCGGAGGAAAGATTGACAAGGAGAAAAACTGGAGCTATGGAAGTCAATGATGAAACTCTGACGATAGTCTAAGAGAAAGAGAATGGGAGAGTGAACTAGGGTGGTAGCCAAGGGTAAATGTTAACAACTGGCTGGGGTGGGGGGCAGGGATGTAAATATGACGTACTCTTCGGTTTGATCTGCATATATCAGCATTTTCTACATCACTTTCTTAAGCGCAGCAGTCAACAAGACCATAATAAATGAAGCCCTGACTTGGCAGCATTTATGGATTTCTAAGGTATAAATGCTTCCACTGAAAATGTAATAATCCTGAGCTCCTCTGGCACACTTCTGGTGGCGTCCAGCCGAGTATAGAGAAATGAAGAGATGTGGTAAAGGTAGGACTGTGGGAATCTGGCAACTGATCAAATATGGACTGGACGGACAGAGAAGTCTTGAAGATGACCTCAAAGAAAAGCTGGGAGGAGGGGTGAGTTTGGTAAGGAAAATGAGTTCTGATTTGGATAGGTGACAGTTTGAAATGCCGAAGGTTCTAACATTGGAGAGGTCAACAGGCAACAAAAATAAATTAAAAAAACAAAAATATTTTAAAATAACATTTTTTAAGAACAGGCAGTTGGTAATATAGGACTGACTGGACCGCAGAAGGGGGATTATGACTGGAGATAGGGATTTTTAAAAGAGTGATCTTGCTACTATTCCATACGTGTGCTGTGAGCACGTGAACATCTCTGTTGTGGAAGTAAATATCTCTGGTGATACAGACACTGGGAGCATCTGCAGCAATGAACATGCACATAAAAATTCCAAGGGATTTGAATGGCCTCAGACCGCAATATCTGATTTAGCCACTAGGTGGTGATCTAATGTAGCATCTTTCCCTCTCCCCAGTCCCACCCCACTCAGCCGCAGCCCAGAGACCAGAAAGGATGGGGGAGTTAGGAGCCCTAAGAGAGAGGGTGTGGATACCTCTCTGTGCCCCAAAGCAACTCTCTGAGACTATATAACTGCAGGGCAGGTGCTGATCTGCATTGATGGAGGGAGTTTCTTCTGTGACAGCTGTCTATATCAATGAATCACGGGTCTAGTCTAAAATAACAGATAATAATAATAACTCCTCCCCTAAACTCTACCCATTGGGGTAGGGGATGGGGGGTGGAAAGAGCAAAGTAAGTAGATCATAGAGAGCCAAGGTTCTCTGTGCCCTGAGATTGAGTGGGTCTTAGCTGTTAAGATCCCATGAGAACCCGGAAGTCCACAAGCCCTGTCAGTACTTCTGATCTGGTGACCACAGTTTAAGCATGGAACGGTTAGGCTCAGCTCCATTCCATAACGATGTGGCTTCCACTTCTGGCTGTGTGACCCTGGGCAAGTCACTTAACCTGTCAGTGATCTAAGCAACTCTCTAGGACTAGAATTTGCAGAGAAGGTGCTAATCTGAATGGGTAGAGGGAGTACCCAATGGCAAGGAAGTCAGGGCTCCTGTCTCTCTGTGGCTTCCAAATTTTGTTTGTTTGTTTGTTTTTAGGCAATTGGGGTTAAGTGACTTGCCCAGGGTCACACAGCTAGTAAGTAGGTCAAGTGCTTGGTCTGAGGCTGGATTTGAACTCAGGTCCTCCTGACTGCAGGGCCGGTGCTCTATCCACTGCGCCACCCAGCTGCCCAGTATGCCCTCCCTCCAAAAAAGCCCCACACATTAAACAGCTCCTTCATCTCATGGAGTTACTGTCCAGTGATATCAAAATGTCAACCACACTTGATAAGTGCAAGCTCTTCACACACCCACAGCATTTTGGCAGGGCGGGCATTAATAACAAGGCTTTGATACTGATTTCAGAGGTCACTTTGGACCAATGGATTAAAGGCACATACCAACAAATACCCTGGTGTCCTTAACAAACAAAAAACCAGCCTCGTGGCAGGGAGGAACCAGGAGGTCATGCAGAAAGTCATGGGAGTGGGGGAAAGGACCGATGGGATGTGGGGTATAGAGACAGAATTGGCGAGACCTAGAAAATTATCCATTTGGCTCTTGTGGGGAGCGCCTGGGTATGAAGTGGGGGTGCAGGTCACTTTGAGGTTACAAATCTGGGTCACAGCAACAGGAGATGGATGTGGGGATGGGGGCAGGGCAGGAAGGCCTCTACAAGACTCACAATGCTCAGAACTAAACGGATACTTGCTCTGCCTGATGATAGGCAAGACATTGAATGGAACATGGGGAAGGGGAGGAAAAGCTTTCAGGTCCAAACCATGCCTGTGTCTAGTGTTCTATTACCCCCCCTTCGCTCCAAACATTGAGTGGGCGTCAAAGGTTGCATTCAGTGAAACCAATTGGTTTCTATTGTTATTTGCTACTTGGAAGTATGGGCAGCTAGGTTGTGTAGGGATAGAGTGCTGGGCCTGGAGTCAGGAAGACCTGAGTTCAAATCTGAACTCAGACGCTTCCTAGCTGTGTGAGAGCAAGTCACTTAACGCTATTTGACTCAGTTTCCTCATCTGTAAAATGACCTGGAGAAGGAAATGGCAAGCCACTTCGGTACCTTTGAGCCAGACATGCCTAAACAACAGTTACAAATGGTGTGAATTCTGTTCTTAAACCTTTCTCTTAGTAGAGAAAAGAAAGACGTGCCAGGCTTTTTTGATCTTTTTTGAAAACTCTGGTTGGTGCATGCCCCAGTCATCAGGTGTTTTGCTTCGAGATCATTCTGTATTTGTAGCTGCAATCCCCTGCAGGTGCTAGGAAGCCAGAGGCCTGAGCCA